GGAAATGCCAAGGGAGTGATAGCGCATGAGCCAGTCCCTGAGTTATCTGCGAGGTGAATTCTGGACCATCGTCTGATGGGATAGAAGTGGGCATCCCAAAATGGGGGATTATGTGAGTAAGCAACAGATCAACTACAATAGAGGCCCGTTTATTGGAAGTGGGAAAGGCTTCAACCCATCCCGAAAAAATATCTACCAATACAAGAATATATTTTATGTTTTTTATTCGGGGAATGTTGGTGAAATCAATCTGCCAGTCTGCAGCCGGGGTATGACCGTGGGCCTGATGAGAAGGGAAAGGTTTAATGGAGTATTGGTATTGGTTCTCTGGCAGATCTGACAAGCAGAAGTGATCTGTTGTAGGAGGGTCTTATCACGTGGGGAAAGGGTGAAAAAGGAGTGAAGGAAAGTAGTGAAACTCTGTAGACTAGAATGGAATAGAGAGTGAGGAACTGGAAGAGTTAACTGTTGGGGATCTTCGGGCTGATCCCTTGTGGTAACCAAGAGTAGCGGAGACGAGGTAAAGCTCTGTAGGCAGCTGATGGAGCAGCTTGATCAGCCTTGGAATTCCCCATAGTAGTAAGGGAGGAGTCAGTTTGGGGCCTTGCAATGGATTATTCCCAGTTGGGAAGGCAGCTGGAGGCTCCTAGTAGGCCAGAAATAAGTGTGGAATTAATGACTGCTGTCCCTCTGGTGGTCAATATCCCCTTTCTTTCCAAATGGCTGCGTGGGAGATCAGGATATGGAAGACGTATTACATAGGGAGAGGGTTTTCCCCTCCGCTAGCTCGCATGCCCTTGTGGCAGCTATGAGTTCAGCTTGTTGGTTGGTGGTATTGGGTGGGAGAGGTTTGCCTCTATGATGGATGAGAGGGAAATGACAGTATACCCCTCACTCTAACCCCTTCGTGTATAAAGGAGCTACCATCTGAGAACCAGACGAGGTCCAAAGAGGGCAGGGGTCCCCAGAAATGGTGGCAGGGCAGGGTAAAATCGTCTCTAATATCTCCAGGCATTTGTGGACAGGATCTTGTGAGGGAGAAGATGGGAGGAGGGAGGCAGGGTTTAATGGAGAGCAGGGCAGAAAAGAGGTGGAGGGATTTTCAAAGAGAGACAAGGAGGGATAGGACCCTGGAAGGAGGAAGTGACTGTAGCCCCTTGTAAGTAAGGAAATCCTTTAATGGTGAAGAGATGAGATGGTTATCAGGGAGCTAAAGGTAAGCTTGTGTGCTTCTTTCTGGAGGTCATGGGCCGCTGCTAGGGCTCTGAGGCATGGGGGCCAGCCCCTGACAGTGGGGTCAAACTATTTGGATAGGTAGGCCACTGGTGCAAGTGTGGGGCCATATTCCTGACACAGAATGCCCAGACTTTGTCCCTGTTTTTACATAGAGGGTGAAGTATTGGGAGAGGTCAGGGAGATGCAGGGCAGGTGCCCAGAGGAGGGCCTTTTTAAAGGGCTTCCCTCCCGCTGAGAGTAGGGGTTCATTTTGGGGGCCCTTGATCAGATTATATAGCGGCCTGGTGAGGAGGGAGAAATTCAAAAGTAATCCAGGCCCTGAAGTACCCAGCCAAACCCAAGAAGGAGAGTCATCTTTGGTCTTTSGTGTAGGTATAGACACAATTTCCCTTGAAAGATAGAGAACCCTARATACATGCTATTTGGGCCTTTTGTGGAGAGGCCCGATTTCCCTTTAAGGCCAAGAAATTAAGTAGGAGAACTCTGTCATCTGTTGAGCGCCCTTTGGACGGGCTAGAAGAATTTGTTT